TTAAAATAACTCAAAATTTTGCACACTCTTAAGAGATCCAAACCAAGATACTCATAAATTTTGAATCATAGATATTTTACTGATTATATAAATCAACCAAGAATGTTATCTCTAATTTTATAGCATAAATCCTAAATCACCAATACAAACCTTGACTTTGAATAATGATTACAAAGTATTTTCACAACCTAAGAAAAAAAAGCCTCATAGCTTTAAGCTTGCTACCAGCTTTCTAATCCTATTTATTGATCTCTATAATTTCCTCTACTTTGCCTTCTCTGGCCATTTAGTGGCTAGAGTTTTGATTTTGATCTTGATCCATAAACAATTCTTTCTCAAGTATCAATCTAACTTATTTTAGGAATTTTTAAATATGATTCCATCTTCACTTTTATTTTAATATCAATCATATTAATTATTTATTTTATTTATCTTATTTTTATTAATTTATGGATTTTTAAATATAATAAAAGAGTTTTTAGAGCCTAGAAGAAAAAATGGATAATAAGCTTATATCTACTAGCTATTAAAATAAGTAAATAATCTAAGAGTCTTTCATAAAGCTTATTTTAATTGTCCTCAGTTCTTATTAAACTAAGATGGTTGAATATTAATTAAAAATCAATTTTATTTGTATTTTTATTATATAGTCATGTTATAATATGAAAACTCAATACAAAAATTGTACATAATTAAATATTATCTTTAAGGCTTCAAAAAATGCTTTAGCTTCTTTATTCTATTAAAATTTATTTTTACATATCAAATGTATAAAAAGAGTTACAACTTGAAAAAAGTTCTTGATGAAGATTTTGTAATAATTAGCAAATCTCAAAAAATATTATAAATTTTTTATTTTTTTTAGAATCTTCCAATCCATGATAATAAAGACCTTCTTTAGATCTATTATTATTCCTTTGTTAGAAATGATGTATCTTAAGAAATCAATTGGAGTAGTATAGAATATACATTTTTCTATCTTAGCATGAAATCTTACATCTCTAAGTTGTTGTAATATATGACAAATATAAAGTTCATATTTTTCTTTGTTCATAGAGTAGATTAGAATTTCGTTTAAATAATAAACAACAAAATCATCAAGAAAATTACAAAAAATGTCATTCAGAAGATGTTAAAAAGCAGTTGGTACATTCATGAGTCCAAAAGGTATGATATTATATTCAAAATATCTATAATTAATTCAAAAAGTAGTCTTCTATTTATCTCCTTCTTTGATGCAAACAAGATTTTATGCTCTTCATAGATCTATTTTTGTATAGATATTTATTTAATTGAGTTGGTCAAAAAGTCCTAAAGTTAGAGATTGGTAATACCTATTATTGTCGGTAATCTTGTTCAATGCTTGATAATATATACACACATTCTTAGAGATCTATTTTTTTTTCTTTACAAATAAGATAAGAGCTTCTATTGAAAATTTTGAATGACATATGCAATTCTTAGCCAAATTCTTGTCAAGGTACTTTTTTAGTGCAATCAACTCATTTTACAATAAGCTGTAAATTAGACTAAATGGTGATTGAACTCTTACTTGTAAATCAATTGAACTATCATAGAGTTGATGCTTTAGAAGAATATCTATACTCTTCTTTTCAAAAATGCCTTAAAAATCTTGATATTGGTTTAAAATATCACTTGACATCTTTTTTCTATCAAAAATAGATAAGGTATATATTACAAAAGATGAATCTTCTTTTGTTGCATGCATAAAAGCTTACACATCTACTAATAAGAGTTTGGATATATTAGACTTATTTTTATTTTTATTTGATTAACAAAATTTTGAATCAAATTAGATAACAAATTAAAATTACAAAAATCCAATCTAATTAAAGATTATATTTTTTAACCAAAATCATCTTAAAATAGCTAAATTAGAGAGAGATCTTATTATATTAAATATTATTATACTAATATGAACTTTAATTGCTACATCTAAAAGAATAATTTCATAGATAATACCTCTAGAAGATAAAGAACAATCATATATGAATTTTACATGTACTTGTTTAATATTCTTGACTAATGACGTTTCTTATTTTTTGACGAAGATGTTGATAAGAGTGAAAAAAGCTTCACTCTTGCCTCTATGTATATTCTAACTAAGAGCTACATTGTGTTATGCCACAGGACCTTCAACACATGTTGACTTTGCTAAACACATATCTTAACTTGCAAGGCAAATTATCTATGTGTGGACCACATAGTTAGCTTATTTAACAAACTACTAACATGTGTGATACATGGTTAATTTGTTGACCAAATTTCTAGCATACCAATTAAATACAAATACATGTAAAGTCAAAGCAACGTCTATGAAGCTTCTAAGAAGTTTTTTTAGAAGATATTATGGAATTAATCTATTTTTATCTACTTCTACTTAATCATATAGGTAATTATTGGAATAAATATCTATGTCTTTCACTGTCAATACTATTTGAAAATTATGTATTTACATTATTTATAACATTTTGTCAATATTATTTATCCAAAATTGATAAAAATATTTAAAAAATATATTTTCAAATTTTTATTATTATTATTTATTAATAGGAAATTAAATAAACGATAGAATATTCTACAAGTGAATAATCAACAACAAAATATGACTATTTATTAATTTTGTTTTCATTTAAATATTTTATAAATCTATTCAAATTTTATGCATATATATATATCGGAAAAATAATAATAGAAAAAATATGATGTCGATGTTGAGAATAATAATAATCATAAAAACAACAACAATACAACTGACGGACGGGCCGTAAACATTCCTGAAGTAGAATGAACCACCACATCCATGATGGTCATAGTTTTGGATGCAGACTGTGAATTTTCTGGAGGTACATCCAAGCAATTGCAGAGAAACAGCACAAAGCCACCACGTGAGGCTCTATGGGCTCCATGCCCAGTGTGAACACGTCCCCTACTGCTTCAAAGCATCAGCTCCGAAGTCTGGGAATTTACTCGCGAAGAGTATATGGGGGGCGGGAGTTTTTTATTTATATTTGTTTATTTATAATTGCAAGGCGTGGCACAATCTAAAAAAGGAACTTTGATGCACTGTCTGTATACGAAAGCGATTTGACAAGTGCGAAGCTCACACTTGGTTGACAGTTATTGGGTGATACATTTGGCACTTCTCTTCTTTTTTCCCGAGGTGCCAGATCATCGATTTTTTTTTCTCTGATGGGATTTGAGCCTACGATAGCGCGCCACTTGGCACACAGCACGTCAAGGTCATCTGTCCTCTCGGTTTTGAAGCCCCCCCCATGACTCCACCCGGTTTTTGGCACCGCGATCGGTACTTCTAGAACAACTCAGGTCCTTCCTGTTTGTGGAGGGGTATGGCCGTGCATGGGCCTACTACCGTCGTTGGTACCAAAAAGGTCTAGAACACAAAGGCCTTGAGGACATTTATTGTTCGTTGATAAACTGACTTTTCATAGTCTCGTGTTTTTAGAACCCAACATCGAAAAATGATTGTGTTCTCACGAGACTAATCATATGAAAATGGTTTATTAGACTTTTACTTATATATTGCCCATACTATTGTGTCTGGGAGTTTTAAATAAGGTGCACAATTATAAATTTTTAATATTGCCTTTCATTTTTAAAATTAAAAAATTATAATTTGTGTATTTCCAAAAAGAATTACTTCATACATGTCCTTTTAGTTGATTCACTTTTTGCATAAAATACCACATAGTATTGTGATATGATTATTCTATTTGTGAAAGCGCCTTATTAATTTCTCATTACAAATATTTCCATGAAGCTTTCTTCTCAAACTATATGCAGATAAAATGCTTTTACTTTAAAATACAGTCATGAAATTTTAATGACAATGTTCTTAGAAATTTATCACATTGATATTTTTTGTTTTATTATAATTTATAAGTGATAAATAAACCATTTAATAGTTTTCAACTGAAGAAAATGATATATTTCAATGTCCAATGTTTTAAACAGTTCTATTCTCAGAGTGATGTTTTTTGCAAAACATATTGGAGAACTACAAATACAACTTTCCAAGCAAATCAACACCATAAATCATACATGTTATCAGTGATGTTGATTATATGGTTATTTTGGTAGTATCTCTGTTTGTTCTTCAACCAACGACACTAGTTTCATTTTTTAAAAAGAAAGAAGATATTCAATTTTGAATTTACTAAGTACATACTTTTAATTGTATGTTGCATGAATGCATCATTTTCAAGCAACTATTTAATGCAAAGCTCTTAGTACATACACCTTTAAACAAATTATGGATACTGCTTTTATACTGCTCTTCAATGTATTCACCAAAAGAAGGCAAGGAATGTGCATATTCAATCCCAGGGAAAGGGTGATCACAGTTGTGGACTGAAGACAAAAAAAATGTAGCCTTGGTGCACAAATTTGCAAGGCAATCAACCATGTTCACCACCCCCCCATTAAGAGCGCTGGGAATGTGCGTTCCCAGATGAGAACGCCACAAGCTTGCCCAACAGAACACCACTCTCGAGAGATCCCCCTATGACCGCGACGCGATTCAGACCACGAAGCTTTTACAGAAGGTATGGGGATGGGCCCCGTCTCCAGATGCCACCTCCGTGACCCCGTGCGTCCACCAACTCCTAGCACCAAAAATTGATCCCAAAAATCTATTGAAAAAGCGATGCTGACGTTACTACCTTTTCTCGTTTTATTATTCACTTTATTTGCTCCGTAGCAGGAGATAGGGGTTTACATAACCCTGGGGCTGGATTCTCTCAGGCAGGGATGAAAGGTCACGGATGGGATTTGAACGGATCTATGCTGTCCGATTCACCGGATAATCTTACCGAAAATATATATCTCCGCCGACGGGTGCGGAACTAGTTCCGCGGCGTGCGTGGCAGGCGTTGTTCAGTATCGTTCGTTTGAACCTCTTGAAGTATCTCGTCAGCCTAGTTTCGAATCATTGAAACGGAATGCCATTTCATGGGCCTAAAAGTAGCTTGGTGGGTGAGGGTCTGACTTACAGCAAGAATGAGCGAGAGAGAGTGCGAGAGAGCGAGGGGGTTCAGCTTATGCACCTCCCTCCTGCATTACCGCTCGTGTGGGTGAGCTTGCGGTCAATGCGCCGAAGCTGCGCCAGCTGGGGGGTGAAGAGCGCTTACAGGAAAAGGGAGGCCAAAAGAGTATCTTGTCATGTGTGCCGCTACTTTCTTCGCATTTCAGGGCGTGTGCGTCTCGGCGTGCTTTTGTTCTTTTCCTGAATGATTTTCATCCAGCACTGGAGCAGCGGCACTCTTCTTGTGCTGTGTGCGAGTCGAGCGAGAGTGGACATAGGGAGATTGGTTAGGGGGCCAATTGTGCCTTTGGAATAATTTCCTTGCGTTTAGTGTAGGGACAAAAAGATTTCGTGCGTGATTGATCGATCCCAGGGGATTGGTTGAATAGGAACAATTTTTGGATAATTTTGGGCTATTATTGTTGTTGTAGGAGCTGGTGTGGTTTGGAGAAGAGTTGGCGGCGAAGATGGGAGAGAAAAAGAGAGGCGAGTGAGCGAGTGACGCATCACCTGAGCGTAGACCTCAAAATGGGAGAAGTTGGTTGACGAAGTGGGACATTGTTGGTATCTTGGCGTGATTTGAGGCCTTGTCAGGAGCATAGAATCGGTAGTGTAGGATACAGCCGAAGATTACTTGGCCAGCTACAGTGTTTGTGGCTTCGAGGCTCTTGTTTCTGGTATTCGATGGGTTGATAATTGAGAGGGCAGTAGTGTCAAGGAAAGTGATGTGTCCGAAGGATGTGGGGAGTTGAGTTGGTAGCTTCACGGTCGCTATCAAGACGACGTTCTTGTGTCACGCGGACATGAGATCACAGTTTGGCGGGATAACTGCTTCCTATCTCTGTTGAGGCTTCTGTGGTAGTGGCGATCCCTCCTCAGTGAAATTGTTTCGCGATCCTTGCATATTCGTTGCCATTCTTGTAGCGACGCTTTGCCTGGAATGACCCACTCAAGGCTAAACGTGTTTGAATGCCAGGCATTAGATGGCTTGGTTCTGATTTTTAAAGATATCGAAGCCTCTACAGGTGTTTGACGTGAAGGATTTCAAGTCTTTTTGTACCAGCTTGTAAGCCTACGATCAACCAGCTTCACAGAGTCGCTGCACGCGATTATCTAGATTTCTAAAGCCAATGTAAAAAATACGTTCTTTTGTAGTTATCTCATAGCTTTCATCTTGTGCTCTTTTGTAACAAATTTTAGAAAGACGCCGAGATTTTTCACATAGCAAATCTTCTGCTGGCTCACTGCGGTCGGGTTTCTGAGGATGAGAGCGGATATGAGTGGGGAGGGGCGTAAGTAGGCATGTGAGCCGGCGAATGCAGGCTAAACTTCTGTGTTTTGTATCACGGACCTTTCGAGTGACACAGTCGGGCTTCGCAGCTGGACTGAGCTACCCCGGGGTTTGAAGACTGCAAATAACGAAACCGCGCAAGTGTGTCCGGTGTTGAGCAAAGACATCCAGTGGTTTGATTTGGCGGCTTGCCCAGCTTCGGGTTCGCGCCACCGTCAATCACCACCGGAAATCAAGGCAGTGAAGTTTACTTTCTGCACGCTGGATCCCCGGCACCATCTTAATCCTGCACCACATCTTATGATTGCAACTCCGCTTGCATTCTCGATAGCAAAGAGGATAACTCAATATCCTCGTACCTGATGGATGGCAATGTGCGAGCTGTGTTGAAGAAAGTCACTGTTAACGAAGACTCTCTCAGCCAAGCGATCCAAGCACTGGGAGGGGGAGAAAAGGGACTGAAAGAGCTTATTGGGCACATTATGTTGTGGGTCAAACAACACAATGGTGAGATGGATTACGGAAAGACTTCTTTGTCACAGAAATTAGAGAAGCTACATCCGCCTCAGATGAACCACGCCTTAGAATTTGCCTCTGGTAAGGGTATCAGCGGTACTGTGTACAATCCAAACCTAGCTAGTGAGGGGTATGATCAAAGAAATGAGAAAAGTCCCTGCCCATTCGTGAGAGTGCAGTCTTCAGAGGATCTCCAGGATATGAACCACTTATTTCAGTGCATCAAGTCACGCAGGTTAATGGGGGAAGGAGGGTTGGACATCAACTTCCCACGTGACGTTCATTCCGGTAGCGGCACCTTTGTAGACGTCCGGGGTAGTGTTCCAGACGTGTTGCACTTTCCTAGCGGCGGGATGGGCCCGAGAAGTCCCAACCATATTGGCCCTGCAATGCTTCAAGGGATGCCTTGTGAGTTGGATATTCAACGACCGTTGATTCCGTGTGCACAGGCCGGGTTGTCGTTTTCAGGCGAACACGATGGATTGAGCCGCATTTTTACAGCAACCACAAGGGCAGCTAGGAGAAACCAAATCTCGCGACAAAGACAATCTGGGCTTCAAAGTAACTCTACATTCACACCAAGTAATACTGTTACAGCTGTTTCCTCAGAATGCGGGTTGTGGTCAGTTGCTCCTCCTGCATGGGACATGAGCGTAGGAGTTTTTCTTTCTAGGACCCAGTCTCCATCCTGCGGCCCTGACATAAGCGACCCAAAGATGCTTACATTTCTGCTACAAAAAGAGCTTCGACCGAGTGATGTTGGAAACCTTGGACGCATAATCCTCCCGAAGGTAATTGTTCTTTTTGTTCACTCTCTTCACCTGCTCTTCCAAGCGTGTTATACATTCAACTGAATTTCCTTCGGCAGCTCAATATCTCACAGTAGCGTCGTAATGTTTTGCTTTTGCAGAAAGAAGCCGAGGCGCACTTACCAATTCTTGCATTGAGGGAAGGCATTTTGTTGCAGATGGAAGATTTCGATTCGGGACATTGCTGGAAGATCAGATACAGGTGTTTTTTCATCTCTGAGTAAAATTGTCATTTATTTCCATTTTTATACTGAGAATTGTGCATGGTAATACAAAGTGGATGTTTATGTGACATTGAGGGCTTCTTTACTTCATTAGAAAGCCTATGTATGATGTTTAGGTTGTGAGGACAACTCCATCATCACACCATTGACATTATTGCGGTCATAGTTTCATCCATTTGTAGAATCATTTCTACTTTTGTCATTTAACACTGACTATGCACCTTCAACCTCAACTAAATTTGAGACAGTGCCCTCTTTATTCACTCTGAATCTTCATTCTTCGACTACTTATCGAAGTTTATTTCTTGCCTTATATTTAGCAACTCACAAGCTAATGTAAGTACGTTTTGCACATTTTAGGTTCTGGCCGAACAACAAGAGTCGAATGTATTTGCTAGAGAATACCGGGGAGTTCGTCAAATCACATCGTTTGGAAGAAGGAGATCTACTAGTCCTTTACAAGATCCAAGAGGGGAATTATGTAAGCTCACTCAAACAGCATCAACCCATTCATTTTGTTGGCTCTTTAGTGATTTTTATAGCGCGATGTAGCCAGTCTATTCGCACTGAAATTGTTACGAGTCCGTAACTTGATACTGCTTTTGGGTACCAGGTCCTTCGAGCACAGAAGAAAGTTCACTCGGAAAGCAGTGGAGCACCAGGGTCACAACAGAAAAACGCATATAGCTTGGCGAGAGATTTTCCGGAGGCATCCAAAACTGAGGAGCCGCTTAAGGAAAAGGACATTGTTGGATTTGCAGAGTGGTCTTGCGGAAAAGTAAATGAAGAACGAAATATTCTTGTACGTGACGATGATCCGTTTTTCAAAGACGATCAAAAGCACAAAATTAGCTCCTCGTTCAGTCCTGAACCGCTTCAATCTTTGGAGAGGTTCCCGAGTTTGAGCATTGATTTTCCGTTGGACGAAATGATGCCATGGGACGACCCTGACGAATTCAACACAGATTCGGAATTGGCGGAGCTCGTGGGATGAGCTCGGGCTTGCGCTTGGAGACGAAGGATGGAGACCGAGATATTCGAATCGCATTCCTTTTGAGCAGCATTTCTTGATTTCAATATTCTGTACATTATGTTCCATTCCTTTGTGGTGGAGGAAGTCCCAACTACTTGTCTCACGGGTACTTGTGACTGCAACAGCAGAATCGTTGATAACAGTAGTTCAATTCGCATGTCACGAGGATTTAACAACAGTATCTAACTGCTGAGATAGCAATGCGATTGATGTTCAGACTTGAAGGGTTGCTGCAGATTAGGATTGTGGAACATGAGCGTTTGAGGGGTCATAGGCAATTCTAATCGTAGGCAAGTATGTCACATGAGATAGGCATTTGAAAAGCTTCAAGTTCATAGACGGCATGTTTTGAGCTTTTTAGCTTGTCAGCAAATCCATGTCTGTTGGCCTAAAATCTGGCTTGTAGCATAAATAACGATGAATCCTTTAGTGCATTGCCAAATACTGACGCTTTCTTATGCTCTGACCTGGTGTGCTTGCATGGTCTGCCTTACAAATCTTAATTCATTTTCTGGGTTGGTTGTTCGGGTTCGAAGCTATTCAGAGTTGTCTTTTTAATGTTTAATTGTATTCTCGTAGTGAATATTTCTGCAGTTTTAGAGCACATCCAGTTCATTTCCTTGGTCCTTCTATACAGTCAAGTTTTATCTTTTAATCGAGGACATATGTTATCCTGCAGGGATGATAATCCTGTAAAATTGTGAACAATACAATTTGTTGAGCATCAGCAAATGCTGCCTGTAATGTTTCTATTGCTACATACATTTTGCTGGTGAATTTTGTTGTGTTGTTACTTGTATCTACTGAGCAATTATCGTTTTAATGGATTCTTTTTTTGATAGATGTCAGAGGATTTTTTACTGAAGAAACTTACTGAGCACTTGCAGGATTGGTTATGTAGATGGAGTTATTATGTGTAACCCACTCACCGTGTTGTCAATGAAGAGTCGTAGGCCAGGTTAGAAGACACAGAAGTCCAGTTGAGTAGTATACGACATGTAATCCACCTGCTTCTAGTCGATCAGCAGTTAGGGATGGGTTGATGATTGTACAAATGTGTTCGTATGCTTAGCCATAACAACACGAATACGATGAGGACTGCTTGCTCTGCATGATCTTTTTGTCTTTTTTAATTAGGCGGGTCAGCTCAAACTATTCCCGAACGCAGGGTAGCATTTCATTCATCGGGATATGTCCTGCGTATCACCATCAGTAGTTGACGGGAAAATGAGTTTTACAACTATAGGAGTTTTCTACGTGAATCATGAGTAATAAGATGTGTTGATTAATTGATTGACTGCACGAATTCTATTGCACCAGCATCGTAAACAAATGTTCTGGATCCGCTTGAGATTATCCTTTGCAACACAGCTCCAATGTGCTACTCTTAATCTTTTAAACGATACAACGACGTAACGACGTCAGGGATCCGTCATACCTGTTCTTCCACAGAATTGCTCCAAAACCCAGCATCTCTGAGAAATCTGACGGGCGAAAAAGTGAATTTGCAGAAGCAACTTTCAACGTTCATCAGGTGTGGTGAGCGTTGGAGAAGTTGAAAACTCATCTTCCCGCACTGCCCGGCTCTGTAGCGGCTACGGGGCCACGAATGTCACCGCACAGGAGATGGTCCTAGTTGAGAGAGATCTTTTTACTTGAAGGTAGGCGTGTGAGAAAACTTCTGGAGTAAGATATCTGCCAAAACAAGTGCGAGGGATCCAACGAGGAAGAGGAAGAACTTAGTAGAGTTTGCAGCCCTAATCTCAATTTTGTTGCTTCCAGAGCAGTGTTGCGTTGCGGAGGTGTGATTTGGAAAGGGTGTAGGAAGTGGCTGAAGATCTCTTGAAGGAGAGATTTAGGTTTGTTGGGTTTTTTGTGGGATTGCAAGTTTTAATAATTATGGCAGAGGATGATCTGCCCATGCCGGAGGCCACCGTGCAGAATGTATTGGAGCAAACAGATTTGAAATGGATCTTTGTTGGTGGAAAGGGGGGCGTTGGTAAAACCACTTGTAGCTGCATGCTGGCCCTCCTGTTGTCTCAAGTGCGAGAATCTGTGTTGCTCATTTCGACCGATCCTGCGCACAATCTTAGCGATGCGTTCTGCCAGAAGTTTACGAAATCGCCGTCCATGGTGAACGGATTTAGCAATCTCTTCGCCATGGAAGTTGATCCGACCGTAGAGAGCGAGGATCTGGAGGAACAGGCGAATGGGTTGGGCATGGGAGGATTTGTGTCAGAGCTTGCAAATGCTATTCCGGGGATTGATGAGGCCATGAGCTTCGCCGAGATGCTGAAGCTGGTTCAGACCATGGATTATAGTGTGATTGTATTCGATACTGCGCCCACGGGTCACACACTGCGGTTGTTGCAGTTCCCCTCTACCCTGGAGAAAGGCCTGGAGAAGGTGATGAGCTTAAAGAGCAAGTTTGGAGGTCTAATTGGGCAGGTGTCGCGCATGTTCGGAGCTGAGAATGAATTCGGAGAGGATGCCTTGTTGGGGAAAGTGGAGAATATCAAGGCCGTGATCGAGCAGGTGCGTGATCTCATATCCTCAGGCACTTCACTCGTTTGCACTCCTATGAATTTCACGATTTCTGCATCAGAATCTTTGTTGGAAAACCCTGAGCCGGAGATACTGACACTGCTTTGGGAGTAGTATCTCAGCGTTCCTCTGTTATGAATAAACTTGGTCTCTTGACTTTTGTTCGTGGTGATGGGGAGAATCTAATACAATCGTGGTGGCAACTTTAGATCAAGTGCTCTGCTTTGAGTCGTTATTGAATTTTATTTTTTACGATAGATATGCCTTTGTGTGTGCTTGTTGCAACAGGTTAACTATCAGTTCCGAAACCCGGATATGACAACATTTATTTGCGTTTGCATACCTGAGTTTCTGTCATTGTACGAAACAGAGAGGTTGGTTCAGGAACTTGCTAGATTCGAAATTGATACACACAACATTATCATCAACCAAGTTCTCTTTCAACCCGATGTTTCTGATTCCAAACTACTACAAGCTCGTGTACGAATGCAACAGAAGTATCTCGACCAGTTTCATGAATTGTATGAAGATTTCAATATTACCAAGCTGCCCCTTCTCCCAGAGGAAGTACGTGGTGTGGAATCCTTGAAATCTTTTGCGAAGAATTTGACGAAACCTTACGTTCCTGAACCGGCAAGAGAGAGTACCGGTGCGGAGAGAATTAGGGAGTTGGAAACTGAGGTATTATCTCTACGAGCTGAAGTTAGTAATTTACAGTTAGAATTGGAGAAACTTAGAGGGGGTCATTAAGCTCCAGAGAGTTGTCTCTTCTCATTTAAATCGTTGCAGTTGAGCTTTCGATTATTCTAGGGCGACTGGGTTTGATACTCTTCTCTTGTTTGTAGATCTCTGCGATTCTCCCTTGCATTTAGTGCCGCACTGTATTTCAGAGACGTTGCTGCATTGCCTTATAAGTAGAAGAATCACAGAGATTTAATCTCTTGTTTATTCTTTCCTCGTGATCAATGAACTTAATGAATATAGTCGTAGCCTGTGCGCTGCACCAGATTGTGTTCTATTCAAATGTCAGGTACTTCATGCCTCAAACAGTTTATCTTCTTCTTAAGTCACTGCTAGCTGTGACAGCAGAGATAATCTCTAGCACTATTTGGCAGCACAGTCCGACGCTTCCTGATTTGTAACGATACCATCCGCATTTTGGCAACAGGTGGGTTGAAATTGCGAATTCTACTTACACAGTTTGCTTGTGGATATTGCTCATGACAGTCTCTCCACACTGCTATTAAGATAGCTTCCTAATCCCTGATCTGCCCCAATACTCAAGTTCTGCTAAGCCTTTCAGGCAAGTACCAACATGTCTTTGAAAAATGAACTGAGATCATTGTAATGTTAATCATGTGTGAATTCGCGTTCTAAATCGCTGATCAAGTCCGCCGCCGCAAACGATTGAATCAGGAAGTGGACATCGCAAGTAATGTTACACGTTTCTTTCTGCGCCTTTCTTAAGGGCGGCTTCGATTTTTAGCAGGCTTGCTGACCAGTTCCGGCTGCTGATCCAAATTCCTTGACATGGGTACGTTGAGAAAAGTGGTGTGCTTACTACGACTAGCTTGGTTCAAATCTACTACTGCTATGGCGGTTTTGCTGGTGCACAAGGTGCGCGTAGGTGCTGGTGGGCATGTTGATTAAGTCTTGGTGGCTTCCTTGCTCTGTCACCATCCCGTCTTGAAGTACTGCAATAGAATCCGCATTCTGGATAGTCGAGAGCCGGTGGGCAATCACGACAGTGGTGCGGCCCACCATGACCTGGTCGAGCGCATCTTGCACCACCATCTCCGACTGAGCATCGAGGGAGCTTGTAGCCTCATCAAGCAACAAGATGGCGGGACTTCTCAGCACAGCTCTTGCTATTGCTACTCGTTGTTTCTGACCCGCCGAGAGCTGAGCTCCACGCTCCCCCACAAGGGTACGATATCCTTTGGGAAGTGCACTGATGAATGTGTGCGCATTCGCAACCTTTGCAGCTTCGATAATCTCGCTTTCAGTAGCGTCCTCTTTGCCGTACCTTATGTTTTCGTATATGCTTGTTGCAAAGAGCGCAGGCTCTTGTTGGACCAAGCCCATGTGCTTTCGGAGTGACCGGAGATGTAGCCTTCGGATATCCTTTCCGTCAATGAGAACGCGACCTGAAAGTGGGTCATAGAAACGGAGGATCAAGCTTATCACAGAAGATTTTCCCACACCGCTAGCTCCCACTATAGCCAAGCTGCTACCGGCTCGTACTCGTAAATTGAAGTCCTCAAAGATCGGCACTTCGTTTCGAGATGGATAGCTGAAAACCACGTGACGGAGCTCTATCTCGCCCTTAACTTCCTGAAGCTGTCCCAGATTAGATCCAGATTTTTTTGTAGGTTATTGAAGGTTAGAAAATGGAATCATCTAGGAGCATAGAAAAATTTCCACTGGTCTGCGATTTGGTAGGGTTGCTGATTAGATTGTCAATTCAGTAAAAGCGCTTAAATTTGGGAAACATGTATGGGTCATGTATGGGTGGTCACCTGTTCCCCAATAGATTGCTCGGGATCAATTTCCGTCTTGCGATCGAGAATCTGGAAGATAGAGAGTAGTGATTGAGAACACTTCACAAAGTCTGGAGCCATAGCGATCGTTTCTGCCACCCCAAATGCTGCAAAGATGAGCACCATGAGCATTTTGATGGTATTTCCAAAACTCGCGCGACCGGCCTTGACAAGCGTAGATGCGTACCACAGTGCTAATGCATAAGAACTGTACATACAGAACTGCGAAAGTCCATATCCTACGCCTGCCACTTGTCCTCGCCACAGCAATTTCCTCTTCGGGTTTCTCAGCTCTCTTATGTATAAATTTAGCACCTGCCAAGTGATGCACACACACACCAGTGACTTGAAATTGTGGGCTACATGCTAATTTGAAAGACCCCACGCTGTTCACGAAATGAATTCATAACTCAATGTGACAGGTAAGTTGCTACCTTGCCCTCGGCGCAAAAGGCGGCTACTGTTCGAATGTTGGACACAGCGTCACCGATTATCATGCTTGTCCTTTGATATGACTTATCCAAGTCTCCACTAAATCCTTTCAGGAAGAGGTTCTGTGTCACAAAATAGTGAAAGATCCCCAACTGGTACACTCAGAGGGATATCTTAAACGAGTGTTTTAAGTGCAGGTTGCTGCTTTGTGTTAGAGGAGTGGCATCAGTTAATACAGTGAAAGCTCAGAGGGTCGGATAAGTGTATTGGTGGATAACACACACGACTATGGTAGCGTAGTAATCCAAATGAGATGCGATACCTCCCCCACCAATGCACCGATGAGGAGGGGAAAACAGGCGATCATAACCCACGCAACGCGCCACTCCAGTGCGAAGACAATGGCCAACGCTGTCACAATGAGCGCCAAATTTTGTACAATGGTGCTCAACCTATCCCCAACTGCGGCACGAACAGACGCTGCGTCCGTTGACAGCCTCATTCCCAAGACGTTACTGTTATTTTCCTCGTTTTCGAAAAACGCAATCTCATTCTGCAGTATTCCTGGAGTGCATGGAACCAGAAGTCAGCTTCATTGGTGTTACGAATAAGCTTTGTTTGAAACACTTCAGAATATACGCAAGCATTTCTGTCAGAAGATGAAAATATGGAGGTGCATAGCACGGTGAACACTATGCTAGTTTAAACTTCCGTACTTTGTAGAAGGACCTCCCGCACTCGTTTAGTGAGACTTTCTCCCATAGAAGCCATGAAATAGTGTTGCATAGTGTGCCCAAGAAGGACAACTATCGCTGCACCGGCAAAGATTGTCGAGTACTTTTCAACTTCTTTCTTCATGAAATGTTTGTCTGGGCTGTAAAAGGTCACTAACACCTAGACATGTATTTCAAGGAAATTATTTAGATCGGAAATATCAACACTTTTACCAGGAGAAACATAGGATCAGTAGTGTACGAGAATCAATTTTAATATGATGCACACATGACAATGATCAAGAGATCTGTTGCCAAGAATCGAACTTTGTAGCAAATAACCAACCTGACCAATAACGAAGGCAGCAAGGGGGAACTCGCATCCAGCAATGACTGCACCGAAGCTCCCCAACAAACCAAAGTGCCATTCCGGGCGATTCAACATCAGCAACCTCCACGGCGACGGTTTTGGTAAGCTCGTGAACGTACCCAGATCGACATGAGTCTCGAAGTTGCCCTCTGAATCGGCATGGCTGCGACTTAGAGAGGATCCTTTCACAAGCCTGAGATATTCATTGTCCACCACAAATTATTTTCAATCACATGACAGGTAAATAAAGTGGTTCCTCGGACAAGAAATTAATTTAGATAAAAAAGAATAAATAAATTAAGCGTTAGATACCTTGGATTCATGCTCGGTGTAGAATCATTACTTGGGGGTGATCTTGGTGCTTGCATGTGTATCAAGGCGGCGTAAGCCCCTGGTTCCTCCTTGGCCATGAGCATTTCGTGGCTACCGCTCTCCACAATCTGCCCATGTTGCATAACGGCAATGGTGTCTGCATTTCTAACAGTGGACAAGCGATGGGCTATCACTACCGTGGTTCTTCCCACCATGAGCGAATCGAGCGCCTTGCAGACAATTTGTTCGGAACAGCTGTCCAGTGCACTTGTTGCTTCATCCAATATTAAGATTTTTGGATCCGTCAGCATTGCTCGGGCTATGGCAAGCCTTTGTCTCTCACCTCCAGAGAGTTGCACACCTCTCTCTCCTACCTGAACCAATGACAAACCTTTTATAATTTGAAACCGAACCACATTCCCAAAAACATGGTCTAGTTATATAAGAATTTTTTCGAGGATAGGCTGCACGTGTAATGACACTAGTATGGTTTTATTTTGCAGATGTGAATGCGTTTCAGATGTTCGTGTTGACCTGCGTATCGTATCCGTGTGGGAAGCGGTTGATGAAGCTGTGCGCAAAAGCAGCCGTAGTTGCAGCAATAATTTCATCTATCGTCGCATCTTCCTTCCCATATAGAAGATTCTCGCGGATGCTGGTTGCAAACAAAGCTGGCTCTTGGTTAACTAGCCCAATTTGTCTCCGAAGCCATTTAAGATCCAGAATCTTTAAGTTATTGCCATCCAGTAGCACCTCACCTGCATAAATTCCATCAAACTCAATTGTTTTCCTGTTTTCGGTCTAAGTGAGTTAAGTGAGCACAATTGACATTCAGAAGCTGTCTAACTTCGAAAAGAAGTAGGAAAATAGTAACAGCAATTTACGAACCGAGAAGTGGCTACGTAGTTACCAGAAGTGGGGTCGTAGAACCTCTCAATCAAGGAAACAAGGGTACTTTTGCCGCACCCACTACTGCCCACAATGGCTACAGATTTTGCTGCTTGGATGGTTAGATTGAAGTTTTGAAACACAGGTGTGTCAGGCCTCGTTGGGTAGCTGAATCCGACATCTCGTAACTCTATGTTGCCCACAACCTTCACGAAAACCAGGGCTGGTATCAGATCTAAAACAAAGAATTTTCACTCTAATTTGAAGCTCTCCAAGCATATGATGTTCCAGTAAGAAATCAAACTTTCAGAACAATTCCACTTCTGCACAGAGGAACATTGTGTTTCTTTCATACCAAAGCCAACTGCATGCCTTTTCCCCTTTGGCTTGACGGACCAAGCAGTGGCCGTCTTTTAATCATTTCAAAGATTTTAAATGCTGCCGCTCTTCCTTTGGCGAATGCTGTCAAGTTTGGAGATGCCTGACCCAATGCTCTGACAACAGTTCATACACAACCCTGTCGGTGTCCAGAAATAGTTGTCATTGGCATCCTCGGCTTCTAATGTTAAGAACCCAGAGCACAACAAACACAACGCCGCTCCTTACATGCTATGCAACCTAACTATTGAATAAAGATTCAGCCAACACATCAAAGGCAATAGGGCGAACTGTCACTTTAGCACATTAACACATGCAGAGAAACTGTGGCAGCGTTATGATAGCGTACATTCCACCCACGACGACATTCAAGATGGTAGTGAAGGCTTTGCCGCCGTTGGTAGAGCCTTGGCGCACCAGCTTGCCCGCATACCACAGCAACAGAGCCCAGGCACCAATGCAGAGTGCGTATGTGAATCCCAGCCCCAGTCCTTTAGCTAATCCTCCCTTTTTCCCTAAGTTCAAAGTATTCTGCAATTCCTTGGAGTACGCTTCCACTTCACTTGCCTCTCCCACATAAGCGTATACCGTCCGCACTTGCGTAATGGCCTACAGCGGAGGGAAGCATACAAGTGTGAACTAACTGGATTAGGTCAATTTTTCTTGGTAATCAAGAACCAAATCTGTTTCCTCCACAGCGCTCCTTTTCAGATCGATCCTTAGTGGTCAATTAAGAATCGGCCCTAGCAGCCGAGGTAATATCTCATTTGAGTGCCAGACGTTAGAAAATTCACTGAACTATGGAAGTCGCCAATACCTGCTCCGCTTTCTTGCCGGCGTCCTCGTAGGCTTGTTGGCTTTTGGTGGCGTGGCCCGTCATTGTCATCGCATAAGCACAACCAGCTAAAACTATTGCAGGTACTACAGCTAGTGTGGTGAGAGATAGCTGCCACACTGATGAGAATCCGACAGCGAAGCCGACTATGAACTTGGCCATGAAGTGGATGAAATTCCCCGTCTGCACAAACAGCGGGTGACATACCATAAACTTAAGTAGGAAATTGAACCTTTACCATAGCTCCGAAACAACGTGATCTCTCATGCAGGCTGGGTCTTAGCGATGTTTAGGTGGGGAATAACTCAAGATGACGCTGTTTCCAGTACCTTCTCACTGATGGCATCTTGCACGAGGGAAATATCTTGTGCAACATGTCCGACTACATCCGCAGTAGTGATGCTAGTGTCGAAATAGCCCACATCCTGGCTCAGAATAGATTGCAAGTAACGTACGCGGATTCGTGCTGACTGACGCTCTCCAGTTTGAATCCAACAGGCCACCTCTGCAGCCATCTCCCACGACCTTCGAGATTCACAAGACCGCCATCTCCACAGAAAGAAACTCAAACCGAATACACACCACTCGATCTCGGAAATAGAAAATATTAGGCTGAAACTGAGTAGGGTCAAATGGTTCTGTAAGGCTCACCTAGCCATGATGCGAACATGACCACCAATCCTAGATAGAACATGCTCAGTGCTTCCTGCCATCAATTGCGCAGAGATCCTTGGTTCACAGAGATTCCATGAATTTTATATGAGGTGCACATTCACTTGACTGTAACCTTGAATAGTTTAATGAGATGGTAACGTATGGAAATTGAATTTCAGATACCTTGCCGACTTCTTGTCCAAGTTTGTTGGGGTGGTGTTGATTGAATCCGAAGGCATTGATGAGCCTCCCAAAGAAGACGAAGAAGATCGGTACCGCTCCTCCATGCGCACACGCGCCTAAGGACCCGAGGAACATGAGAAAATAGTCCACGGTGTCAGCGAAGGAGAAGAGTTTCAGATATGATACTTCGGCTTCAGGCGGGGGCTTCACAGGATCCTCCACGACCACCATGACCTTAGGCAACACTTTCTTAAGCGTTAGGCCCACCAAAGGTTGCCTTTCCAGAGTCAGTTTCGGGACGACGAATACAAGGGATTTCTCAGGTTGTAACTCCGCATCCACTTGGGTATTCTCCGATTGTGCTTCTTGGAGGCTTGTGGCCGCCCATGTCGAGGTCTGGTCTTCGTCATGGCCTAGTGACAACGGCGTGGATGGTTCGTGGTTTGATTCTCGGTTTCCCACGTCCCTAAGTGTAGGGTGATTAGGAGATGAGCAATAGCACTTGGAGTTGGGGTGTCTATCCGTCGGCGTTATCATTGTCACGATCGGCTCAATCTCTGCCAATGCGCGCAAGGCGGCGGTCTTTTCCACGCACCTCTTCAAGTTCCTCTTAAATCCATCGATGTACAAGCTCTCTGACAGAATTCCGAGCGGCTCTGCATCATTTTTGAGGCTTAAATCACCTTCGTTCCCTGAGTCAGCTGTAGTGGAAGTCTCTCCTGCAGCGTTAGGGGCTCCCTCCCAGCGCTGATCGTCGTCGAATGCATTCTCTGAACTGTGGTCTTGCGGTTCCGACACATTCTTCAGGTTTTCCGATTTGTCCATAGGTCAAAACTTTCTGCTGGAACCCGTAAGAAAGGATTCCTTCTGAGTAGTAAGTGGGACTACCTTTGAGTGTAATGCAGAAGAGTGAGTTTGAGGATTTCAGTGAAGCAATGGAGTAACAAATCTGCTGCTCATCTGCCGTAAAAGCGACTTCAGCAATCCGATTTTCATTCTCAGATCTCGTTGATCGTCTTCATGGCTTTAGGAAAAGGGGTTTGGAAGATTTAACGAGCAGCTGCCTCACAAAGGATCCTCAAGAAACTCCACATGCAATCGTCACCTTTGGCCATTCTCTGATGTTCACAATGTCTCACTAGTCTCTTCTGGCCGTATCCAGACATTGATCTTTAACATCAGCACCTCAGGGGACCAATCTTTACTACGTGAAAGGATTTCGCAGCTTACAGGCACATTGTCTCTTCTGATCACGTTCAATCTGCTCAGCTCTCGTTACACACACACTTCATAAGCCACTATAACTGTAACCCAACAGTAACCAATTCCCCGTCTCGTCGACTCACATTGTAAGCGACACTGAAGCGAGTATGTCGAAGTACCCAGAATTGTTCTGACTACTTGAGAGAGATGCTTCCTGTTCCATGCAAACCTCAACCCATGAGACAAGGTTTCAGAGCGTGAACAGTTAATACACATACCATGTTGCAAAATTTCCCACGGGCTTCGGGCTTAAAAATGCTCATACACCCTCAGCGTTGTCGCCGTCTGTACCGAATTCCATGGATTGTTTTACGGTGGATGAGAGTTTCTTGAGAGCAGGAAGCGGGACCGTTGAGACGGTTAGTAAAACACACACTTAGCCTCACGATTTCTTCAACTAAATGGAGAACTATTGTCCACGCCATGGCCATAAGAAATCTCACTACAGTGCTTGCAACCCAAAGAAATACACCAAATCCAGTGGTTGAGGTTTCAGTATTGGGATTCACACCCTAAACAATTGGCTTTTTCTCACGTTTTTCTTGTTGCTTGAATGAGCTTCTCTTGTGATTGTACCTGAATTGATTTTTTTTTGTATTTATTTAATTTTTAATTTTTGATTTTTTGCTAATGTGATATCCTTACAATGAACCAGTGAGGCAAGATTTATGGAATAATACAAAAGTATTTTCCATCCTAAGCCTGATTTTACAGCATATGTTATGCAAAAAAGTTATACTGATTTGGAAATAGTAAATTGTTGCTATTGTATGTATTATGTATGTATGTATGTATGTATGTATTATATATGATTTGGAAATATTAAATTGTTCAAAATAATTTTTATTAAAACTAGAAGCAAAGATCTTAAAAAATATGTATGTATGTATGTATGTATGTATGTATGTATGTATATGTTTCTTTTTCTAGTTAAATTTAACAATCAAGTATCAAAAAACATTTATGTCTTTCTTATGATTAAAATCTATAGCTTGAAAAATTATGTTCTATTCTATTATCTACCTGCTTAGGAATTAGATTGTTGGTATAAAAAGAAAAAATAAAAAAGAAGTTCAGATTTCTGATTAGATTTTGTATTTGATTATGCTATGTGTAATTGCTAATTTAGAAAGAATATAGGATTTTATTTTTTAATTTTTTAAAAAAGATATTTAATTTCAGATTAACATGATTTATTTTTCATTTAATTTTTTTCTATAGACTATTATTATTTTTTATTTATTTTTTAAAGTATAAATTGTAATAAAGAATTTTGAACAATGATGACAAAATCTTAGTAGTAATGTGTTCTTATAGAATTTTTAGAATTTTTTCAATTATTGTTGAATAATTTTTATAATTAATTTTAAAATATTATTCCAAAACCTAAAAAAAAGATGTTTGTAGAAGATTTTTAAGAATTAAAATAAGTTTATTATTTTTTAAAAAACTTAACAAGAAATTTTAATGATTTTTTTATATAGTTAAAATTTAAAATAATCCCTTTTAATATAGTTATAGTATTTTTTTAAAAATTAATATTTGTATTTGATGTTGAAATAAATTAAATATAAGAGAGTTAAAAATTAAAATTTTATGGCCTAAAATAAAATATATATATATATATATATATTATATTTTTCTATCATATAATTTATATATTAATAAATATTTTTTTAAAAAATATTATCAAAAACCTTGATACAAATTGAGTTTTTCTATCTAATATAATATTCCTTGATAATTAATGATAATAATAAATATTGTCAAGAAATTTTTTATTTGTTTCTTAATTTATAATAGATTTTGTATATGGTACAAAATGTGCCATCTTTGTGAAATAATCAACTATCATGAATATGAAGTCATATGAACTTGAGATTAAAGAATTGTGACACAATCTATAGAAAAAAAATACTATAGTTGTTTTGATATTTATAATGGCTACATAAATCTATAAGGTTGATGATGAAGAGTTTTTACTCTAAAATAAATATTACACAATTGTACAAAGCTTTTAATTATTTTTTTACATTTTAAAGCCACTAAAAATCTCTTGATATTAATTTCAAGATCTTATTATATCAAAAATGTCTTTTAATTGAAAAATTGTAGTAAGTTTGAAGAGCACATAGTTGTACTTCACCTTCTTGAACATATAAGGATCTCTCAAAATAGAGTAGATTATTTTTAAATCTAAACTTAATAATATCATAATTTTTATAAGGATTTTTATTTTTTATTATTATTATTTTTTTAATATCATGAATAAGATGATTTGAGGATATATTTGATTGAATTTGCTTATAAAAAATTGTATCAATAGTCAATATTGATTTTAAAGCTCAAAGATAAAATTGCTTTAGTTACAAAAGAATTATTTGTTATTGATCACAAGTTGCATCTCTTTCTTTTAATAGAAGATAAGAATATCTAAAAAAGACATTTGATAAATCTTATTTTTTTTTTTGATTAATAAGTCATCTTAAATTCAAATCTTAATAAAAATATGCTCTAATAGATTTGGCAACAATTTATAGTATTTGCTAATATGAAATGCTATAAGTTCTTATAATCTATATACATAGTGATTGAAATAGAAGTGTCTTTCAAATAATGGCACCATTGTTGAAATGAATCCACAATTGTAAAAAGTTCTTATTATGGATTTTATAATTGATCTTTTCTATTGAATGTTTTTTAAATAAAAAGCTATTGGATGAAGTTTGTCATTTTTTTTCATTTGTGACAATACTACATCTAAAAAAATCTAATATATTTTGTTTTACAAAAAATACACAAAAAATGTTGATTTAATACAAGATTGATATAAAAATAAAAATTATCTTTAAAGCTTCAAATTTTACTTTAACTTCTTTATTTTATTTAATTTTGTGTTTACAAATCAAATGTGTAAGTGGAGGTATAATTTAAAAAAAATTCTTGATAAAGATCCAATAATAACTAATAAATTCCAAAAAAATATTACACATTTTTTTTATTGTTCTTAAAATCTTCTAATCCATAATAGTTTGAATTTTTTTAGGATCCATTTTAAGGCCATTATTTGAAATGATTTATTTTAAGAAGTCAATTTAAGTTGTGTGAAATACCTTTTTCTTTGTCTTGGGATATAAACTTGTAAATTTAAGTTTTTGTAACACACAACAAATATAAAGTTTATATGCTTTTATATTTTTAAAATAGAATAAAATTTCATCTAAATAAAAAGATAAATTTATTTAAAAACTATTAAAAAATATCATTAATAAGATGTTAAAAAGTAGTTGATACATTTATTAGTCCAAAAGGCATGACATTATATTTAATATACCCATACATGATTTCAATTGCAGACTTCAATTCATATCTTACTTTGATATGTATGAAGTTGTGTATTTTTTGTATGAATTCTCTTAAAGATCTAAAATCCTTCCAGTCTATAGCAACATAAATTCCATCACAAAGTAGGACAAATGGACCAAAATAAAACTGAATAGTATTAAATAAAATAGAAAATAAAAGACAAAATAGAGTAAAAAAAATAGAATAGGATAAAATAAAAAATACAAAATAAACTTCATTGAGATAAAAGAATCAAAGCCATACCTAACCAAATTCTTCAAATAGCCTCAGTCAATTCTATTTATACTTTATTCAACCATCGTAGAACTTTTTAGAATATCTCTAATGGTGGATTCTATCAAAATAACTACTTTTAAAAGATTCTAGATGTAGGCTCTACCTTGGTAATCGCCTTTAGTTCTTCTAAATTTTTCTATGGTGGATCCCATATAGACCACCAACCTAGCCTTAATTCTAAAAACTTCAGGAAACTTTTCAAAAACGGCCTCAATTACCTATCTTATCTATTGAGGTACCAGCTTATGAATTTGGATTGATGTAACAAGTTGAAAGTTGGCATGAAAGAATAATATCTAGTCACCCTTTCAAAAAGTCTTATGTTGCCAGTGATTATCTACATACTGCTTGTGTTGATTTGATGTGGTAAAAAAGTGGTGTTGTACTTCTTACAATGCAATTGTAAGCCATTGTATAAATTCTTCTATTATCAGGTTATTGGTGTCAATGGGATGATAGAGAGTTGTAAGCATAATCAGATACTCACTGGTATTAATGAAGAATGGTGAATGACTTGTACTTACTTGAATACTATTATTGTAAGCAAATTCTAAGAACATGAAATATTCATCCTAGTCATTATGGTGAATCACTACAAATGTCTATAGCATATCCTCTAAGGTCCAATTTATATGCTTTATTTGTCCATCCATTTGAGAATAGAAAGCCGTAGATATGGCAAGTCATGTATCTAATAGCTTAAACAAGGCTTGTTAAAAATTTCCCATAAAGTGAAAATTTTGATTTGAAACAATGATACAAAGTAATCCATGGTAAGAAAAGACACTGTCAAAGAAGACTCATTGTTATATTACGTGAAGTGTTGCTTGAGAGTGAACCAAGTACTTCACTATAGAAGTAGAATAGAAATTACAATAACAAAATTCTAATTCTAATAGAATACTAAATAAACTCTAATTAAACCTTAATAATACTAAATAAGCTTTAATCAAATTCAAAAGAAATCTTAAAGAAATTACAAAAAAAATAAAAAAAATCTTAAAAGAGTTAAAAGACAATCCACAATAAACTTTAAAAGAATTCTTAAGAATCTCTAAAAAATATTAAAATAATCACAATATATCTTAAATAAATCTCAATCAAGTTCTAATTTAATCCTAATTGAAAGTCTAATGGACTTCAATCAAAGCTTAGACAAATCTTAAACTCTAAATCAAATTCTAGACAAAACCTAAATCCTAAATCCAACCCTAATCAAATCCTAAAACTTAAATCAAATCCTAGATAAATCCTAAATCAAATCCTAATCAAATCCTAAATCTTTAACCAAATCCTAGATAAATCCTAAATCCTAATTAAATTCTAAATCTTAAATCAAATCCTAACCAAACTCTAAATCTTAAATTAAATTCTAATCAAATCCTAAATTCTAAATCAAACCATAACTAAATCTTAAATCTTAAATCTTAAATCAAATCTTAGACAAATCCTAAATCCTAAATCCTAAACCAAATTCTAGACAAACTCTAAATTCTAAACCAAATCCTAAAGTACTTTAGAACCTTAATATCTTTTGATTAAACCATTGCTCTTATTTGAAA